TAAAATAGATGGCTTCTATTACGTATGCATGGGCAGATGCATGCAGCATAAAAAGTCTTACGTTCGAGTTCTATATGTATGTAGTCATACTAATATCTAAATCACTATCATGAAGGAAATAGTGGGTTCAATAGATTCTATATTAACTAAGTTAAAATTCTGAATCCACTTCTGTATGGTATATGATAGTGTTCAAGTATGATCCACCAAATGCAAATGGTACTGGATTTCCACACAGTGTTTACTTATTACCAAACTACAGGAGCTTTATCAAGTGCGATTTCAGGAGGGCTAAAAGGATAGCAGATCCAACTCAGGGTGCTGGTGAAGGATTTGAGTTTGTGCTGAAGAAAATGCAAACTTATTATTTTGCTTGTGGAGAGCACCAAGGCATCCATTGTAAGACTGGGAATATGAAATTTGCTGTGATGCCACTCAAACATTGGCGTTTCTGAGTTAAAAGAGAGAGAGTTGCAGATTGTGCTGTGGCTTGGAATTTGGAAGATGCATACTGATTTTACACTTTCTTTTTTGTTTCGTGTTTTGCTTGAATAAAGAGAGAGAATTTGAGCTGACTTTATTATATTTTTCACTTCAATTAAAATGTAATAGCTGTTTTGGATAAATTACGTTGTGGCTTTTTAATATGTTGTGTTAATTTTCCATATATTTTCATGTTATGTATACTGTGTCCACACAAGGGGTGTACAAAGGAAACCGACAAACCGCACCAACCCGATAATCCGAGTCAAACCGAGAATAAAAACTCGACCATGGTTTGGTTTGATTTGGTTTGGTGTTGGAAAAAATAACCCGACCATAATTGATTTGGTTTGGTTTTAACTAAAGAAAGTCAAACCGAAACCAAACCAACCCGACATTACATAAATAGAAATTTTAGATATAATTAATACATAAATATACTTATTGTGATATAATTTATTAATATTTCTTAAAAAATTTCATAATTTTATATCTTTTAAGGTATTATTTCAAGGTTGGACTTAGAACTTTTGAATGTTCCAATAAGTTTTATTGACATTAACATTAGTGAATTAAATAATGCTAACAAAAGCCCAAACCAAAATCAAATCAATATTAATGCTAACAAAAGACATCCAATTCAATACTACGAACGGGAATGTATTGAATAACTATTTTTGTTATGCAATAATTTAGATAAAAATGCATGACCTATTTTTATTTTTTCTTTAGCGTTTAGTCATGTAATTAATACCCCCTTATTAGCCTACTTATTTTTGCATGACTTGGTACTTTTAGATTATGTTTATTCTATTATGACTTTTTAATTAGCAATATATATATATTACATAATTTTATTGTCTTTATTGTTGAATATTTTAGGATAATGCCATGACACATCTCATATTTTGTATTATTTTCTTGGAAAATATTTTATATAGTTGTATCTTACTAGGATTAAAGAAATATTTTGAGCACAATTTATATGTTTTGATCTACGAAGATTTTACTGGAAGAAAATCCGTAAAAACCCGAATAACCCGAAAACCCGAGAAAAACCGAGAGCGAAAAATCCGAGTTTTATTGGTTTGGTTTGGTCTTTAGATTTAATAACCCGACATAATTGGTTCGGTTTGATAATTGTAAAATCCGAACAAACCCGACCTATGTACACCCCTAGTCCACAATACTTGCAACTGCTCTTTTCACGGTTCATTTCTCTTTGTACGATAGACTCATGTGATCCCGCTCTTCTCCAGACCCTGCGCATAGCGAGAGTTTAGCGCACCGGGCTATATTTTTTGCGCATAATCAGAGTGACTACCCTAAAAAAGTTGATTGTTTTAACTCGCAAGACACCCTGGCTTGGTTCTTATTTTTTGGTCCTAAGAAGTGTAGAATTCCAAAGAAGGGGAGAATGGGCTGGATCTTTCTTCACTTTGATGTTATAAAAATAAATTAATTATACGAAAATTATTGGGGAATTAACCTAGATATCTGTTCATTTAACCGTTTAAATTAAAAATAGCAGACAGATGAAAAATTATGTTGGATGGAACTTTTGTAGAACCACCTTTTAAATTTGAGTTAATACCCTAAAACCCCCATAAACTATAACATTTTTGTCAGTTTCCTACTTAAACTATTCGATGTCCCCAAAAATCCCCTGAATTATATTGTCCTTCGTATTAAACCCCCCTCGTCGCTGACCTGGCATAACGTGTACAAACACTCGCTTGGGAGCGCGTGACAACTGAAAAAAAGCCATCAAATGGCTCATATGACAGAAAATAATGGCTAATTAGCCTAACCCTCTTTCACATTTATTCTTTTTAATAAATATTCTCCATATTTCAATTATATCCACCTTTCGTCCTCATTTTTTTAACCATTTCTCCCTTCTTTTTTTTACATTTCTTCTTCATTTTTGAACTTTTTTTCTTCAGTTCACAATATGGGTTTCCTCTGAAAAAATTTCTCCCTCTCTTGTTTCCTCTGAAATGATTTATTCTCATTCTTGTTTTAGTCTTCTTTCATTTTTTACACATATTGTTGAAAGAATACCAATTTAAATATTCTTATTAAACTCAACACCTTGTAGAGAATAAAATTGAATATCTTGAACCTTCTTTATGTAATCTGGAATTAGAGGATGTAATAGTATTTGTTGGCCAATTAATTTTTTATTTGCGAAATTTTATTTTGTGTAATCTTTTTTATGTGATATAAGATGATTTTTAAGAAACACTATATGCCTTTATTTATATTTTTCTGTGCTACAAAATGAATATAAATGACTTCTTCAATTGGAGTTTAGCATAAAGCACGATCACAATTAAACCTAAAATTAACACAGTGCATTAATATTATTTTGGCCAAAACTCATAAAATTAATCAATCATCCTAGAGTAATACATGATGAGTAAATTGTATAAAAAACTCTTTAAAAACCACAAGTTAATATAGTTAGACAGACGCAACATGGGGTTTAATATATAGGGTAATATAGTTCAGGGGGATTTTGGGGACACCAGATAGTTTAAGTAGGTAACTGACAATATGGTGATAGTTTAGGCGGGTTTTAGGCTGAGTTGAATAGCCACGTGTAGTGCTACATGTCACGTTTTTTAAATAATTAGGAGCGTGTACTACACGCACCTCTAAGAATGCAATGAGGGATTTCTAATATAAAGGACAATATAGTTCAGGGGGTTTTGGGGACGCTGAATAATTTAAGTAGAAAACTGACAAAAACATAATAATTTAGGGGAATTTTAAATATATTAACTCTTTAAATTTTGACCCCTTTAAGAAAAATCTTGGGAAATAGCCTCTGACCAAAATTTTGAAGCGCGTTGGTCAACATTTTGGAAGCGGTCTCGGCTATCGTTAGAATTTTGAAGCACCATTCAACCACAATACTGAAAATCCAGGTGACCAGAATTATGGCAAAAGCTTAACAATCACCAGATTTTTCAACATTGCAGCTGAAAGTTCTTGTGAACGTCAGGATTTGTCCCTAGTTTTTACACATCACTCATGAAGCCAAGGACACCGTATTCTTAATATTTACCCAACACTCATAAAGTAAGGACACCATATACTTAACATTTATACATCACACATGAAGTTAAGGACACCATGTCCTTAACATAAAGTTAAAGACATGATATACTAAAGTTTAACAACAGAAAGTAGAAATACATCACACTTTGTCCTTAATATTTAGGCGAAATGGCTTCCTGGCCACTTAAACTTGCATCAATTTTTAAAGCCGATATATGAACTTTTGGGTTTCCCATTTGAGCACTTTTACTTGAGAAAATGGCTAGTAATAAACACTTTTGACCATTGACTATGCTTATGTGGCAACATTAAAGCTGATGTGGTCAATTTCGTGTTAATCACGGGTATAAAGCGCGTGAATACATTAAATTTAATAAAAAAAAATAAAAAAAAAAGATCCACCTCTATCTATTCCTCCCCGTACCCTTACCCCTGCCGCTTCCTTTTCTTCACTCATTGTCGCCACCCCTGTAATCCCTCATCCCTCCATTTCTCTTCTTCCTCCTTTATTCCTAATTAAGCCCATAACAAAAATTTTGATAAATCACACTCCAAAGCTCCATATTAAACCGTCATATTTGTTTATTCTTCAATTTTTCACTATCAATCACACTCCAATATATATGTACCCTGAAATTATTTTCTGATTTGTTCTGGTTCGTTGGAATTCCGATTTGATAAGGCGGATAAGAGAGAATCAGGTCCACCAGAGTGAAGTGTTGATACTGTTGTTCAAAGAGCTTGCCTCCGACGTTGAGCTTCACACGGTCGTTGACTTGGCTTTGAATTGTTGCATGTCGTGCTCCATTGATTACACCTATATATATGTACGTCGTGCTGGAATTATTTTCTGATTTTTTGGTAAAAAATGGGTTTGATTTCGATCATGGTCGCTGCTTTGATTTGTCGAAATTATTTGTTGATTTGTTGGAAAAAGTTGGGTCTTATTTCAATCATGGTAAAAGTTGTTCACTGCTTCATGATTTTTCTCTTTGATCATTGGAGGTGGTAATTTTAGTTTTTTAGTTTTGGTGATATTTTCCTTGTAATTTTTTGTGGTAAAAGGTTTTGCAAATGGTTCATATTTTCTTGCCGAGAAGATGATAAACAATGAAAGTGAAAGGTATTGGGTGGGATAGAAAACAGAGAATCGCCGGAGCCGTTGCCGATGAAAATCTAAAGTTTTTAAAATTGATTCCTAGTTCGTTAAGGTTTTTTCCGGCGGGTTCTGAGGGAGTGGAAGGGATGTGTAGAAAAAATTAATTTGTAAAAAAAAAAAAAAAAAAAAAAGAAGAAGTAGTGGGACTTCGAACGTCCAGGTGTTAACAAAATATGAATGAATGGATGATGTGGCTATACAATATATTAAATAAAATCCATGTCATTGAACAACAAGCACCATCACAAGTGTTTATTAGTAGATATTTTCTCAAGTAAAAATGTTCAAATGGAAACCAAGAGTTCATATATAGCTTTACAAAAGTGGCCACGAAACCATTTCGCCAAATATTTACACATCTCTAATTAGGCTAACTGTGCACTTCCCCTGCTGTCTTTCGCGTGATATTTTCAGTTCAAATTCGATCCCCAGCGGCGATTCGATTCCGGCTGAAAAATCTGTTCAGAGCAATTAGCTGATCCCAGCGAAGTAGAGAGGAAGGAAAGTATGAGTGTATTTGGAGGAGATAGCTGGGCGAAGGAAGGGCAGTACAGGAAGAGAAGAATCGATGAATTAATGGCGGACAACATCAATTCTTCAGCTTATAAGAAGCTGTCCAGCGGCAAATTCGCCTGCCTCGTTTGTCCTCACTGTCCCGTCCTCGACACCCCTCTCATGCTCTCTGTATGTACATACTAAAAACACAAACCCTAATTTTGCTCCTTTGGTCTCTTTTTTAAATCTTTTTTTTTTTTGGTTCTTTGATTTTCATATCCTTTAAAACTAAAAATTTGATCTTGTAAATGTTGCTTCATAATTCTTCCATCTTCAATTCCCGATAAACAACTTAATCTTATATGTCATTCAGCTTGGCTTCGAATTTAAGTAAAGACTAAGCCCCTAAATAGTAAGGCAAGTTTAAAGTCTATCATTGACCGAAAATCGAAGTTAGCTTCAAAAGATTTGGAGTTGACTATTCCTGTATAGCATCTCTATAGTAAGAATACTTGGAGGTTTCAACATGATCCAGGTTCATGAGAAGATTGAAATGGCTGGCCGAGAATTGCAAATAGAAATTCCTGCAAGACCAAACATATTCATAAGATGAATGCCATAAATATGCAGATGGCCAAAATGGATGTGGTCATTGAAGATTGGACAAATTAGAAATGATGACATATGACAGAGGGTGTAATTTTTTGATAGGGTGTGACAGAGGTGTAAGTAGCGCAGAGAAAACAAAATAAGAAAAGGTTGGCTGAGATTATTAGGCCACGTCAGAGTAGAGCTCAATATATACCAATCCATGGGTGCAACAAAACAATGGTTAAAGATGCTAAAAATATACGACGTAGTTGATTGATTCATTCATCCGAAAACACTTGATTGCCTGCATGGCAAAAATCCTTCTCTTTTTGTGAATTATCTCTATTTTACTTTCCCAAACAAAAAATACATATGCTTCCTGCGCTGGGTGGTGGGTGGGTTTGATGGTGGTGATGGACCTCTGTTTCTTTTGGACCAGATACTTCTTTATTGGAGAATTTTGTGATTTATTGGCAGACAAACCATACAGACATGATCTGCATGTATATTACTACTTTTTGATGCATGGATGCAGCATGTATGTATCTAATGTATTAGGAACATTCTCATGTTATAGTACTTCAGCTTCGGGGATGCTTGTTCTCCTTCAATCTTCTTCCGTGATAATTCCCTTATTATCAGAAGGAGCTCTACTTCTTTGGACAAAAATATTTTTAATAGGTCCAAGTGAGCCATGAAAGGGAGGTAGAGTGTGAACATCTTAATCATGCCACATATGCTTCTGAGGCTTAAAGAAAAAATGACAAGGTTCTCTTCAGATTTTGACTGTTTGCAGTTGATGAAGGACCTCTATTTCCTGGACCAACATTTTCAATTGGTGAAGTTCTGTGATTAACTAATAGACAAACTATACAGACATACTGTACATGCATTTTTACAATTTTCTTAAAATTAGGATTGGTATGCATCTATGTTTGCATCGATAATTGTATTAAGACATTTCTCATGTTATAACTTTATCCAGAAAACATAAAAAATTCTCATGTTACAATACTCTACTTCGGTATGCTAGTTTTTCTGTGATAATTCCCTTATTATCAGAAAACATATGTAGGCACATGTGAAAGGGTCACGCCATCGAGCAGCAGAGTCAAGGCTTAGAGAAAGAGAATTAGGCAGGCAAGATGAGATAAACAAGAGAATAGCCTTGTCAGAATGTGTTACTGCCACCTCGAGCACCTTGACGTCCAGCCAATTATGTAAATCAGCAAACAAACCATTGATTGAGCGCGCAAAGAAAGCTGCTTCTGACATACTTCATCAAAATTTGGCCCAAAGTACTGCTTCTCGAGTGGATGAGATCAAATGTAACAAGGGTGATGGTACAAGTTGTCTAACTAATAAAAGGAATAGTCAATCTGTTCAAATAGGAGTCACAACAAATCAAACTATCATACCTCATGCATACGACCGGGAACGACAAGAGAAGGAGCTTAAGTTCACATCTGCTGGATGGAAGCGTGATGGCCATGGGAAGTGGTATAAGGATGAAAATGTGAGTTCTTCATTTGAAGCACGAACCTGTGATGAACTTTTTCTCATGTGTTTCTTAAAGCGAGGCAACATTGTTTCTCATACTGCTAAACTATAACTAGAGGTTTATCACTTGATTGTTGTTCAATCAATTCTCTTTATTTAAGTATATGGCTTTAAGTTGAATGAAGGTTTGATAAGGTCCATGTAAAACTAATTTGGGTTGCACTGTTTACTTGTTTGCAGGTTGAGTTTGACTCAGATGAAGAAGATCCTAATCTCTCTCTTCCGTGACTGTTGGTTGAAAAAAGTAAGATTTTATACCTATTTAATCCTTTCCCTTTCAGCTGTACTTTATTTCGAATCATGACATTCTACTTGATTGGATGCCAAAACTAACTCTTTTACAGGCATCCATCGCTGCGCATCACTTTCCTCATAGGGAGTTGAATACTAGTCAGGTCAAATTCAAGGATAACCAGATACATTCAATGTGTGAAAGGCCAAGCAATTGTTAGTTCTGATGCTTGCTCACGCTTCAAGTTATCATTATCAATAAGCATGAGAAAGTTGCAATGCAGAAGTTTTTCAATTTAGCAGGAATGCGTCTCTGAATATGATGCTTTGGTTTCTGTTGGATATGAATGGTGAACATGATGCTTTGAATGAGATAGGTTTGAACAGTTGAGCTGGAATGCAGTGCTCTGCTGGATACTGATTGAGCAGCTGAGGTGACGATAGTTAAGGGTCTCTATTTCTGCTATTTTCTCCCTTTGAATCCTCAATTTGTCTTAGCCACAAAACCAACAGGGTGAAGCGATTGGGAAGTGAATTATTTGGCCTTCACTTTTGGCATCTACTATGTCTTTCCTCAAAATAGGTGTAAAATTACCGAGGCTTACATTATAATGGTATTTGTGGTAGTCTCCCACAAAATAGGTGTGAATATATCTCATCCTTCCTTCCCATTCTCTGGTCTCCAATGTAATAGAAAAAAATTAAAGAGAAAGAGTCTGAATTTTCTCGTGTTACGCAAGTCTATGGAAAGGTAACTGGCTCCAGCTTCAATAGTTGATGATTATTGAGGCTTTCTTTGTCGATATTCTATTTATGAATAGCAGCAAGCAAGAACTCAAATTATGCATAGAGCTAGCAAAGAAATGTATGGAGTTTGTTTGAAAGTTTCAAAAACAAGTTTGCAATATTTTCTTTTAGTACGTATTTGCTTACTCTCTAATAAATAGAGCTTTAGCTAGCGTTTGGCCATAGATCCCAAATTTGTTTTGAAAAATCTGATTTGGGTGAAGTTTGGTTGAAGATGAAAATGTGTTTGGACATACGTTTTCAAAATATATTTCCCAACTTTATTTTGGAAAAATATGTATATAATTCCCAAGTTTTGGGATTTTAGCCCAAAATCAGCAATTGGTGTGAAATATGAGCAAAATTTATGGCCAAACATGAATTTTGAAAATAAATTCCAAATTTATTTTTGCAAAACTCATGGCCAAACGGTTCCTTAATCTTTCAATAAAGTAGGTCTGTTATTTAACTGGAAAAAAGGTAATAAGACATATTAAGGTTGAAATTGACCACTACAAAACAAAATACTGGCCAATGAAAAAAGATTTTCGTTTGAAGGTTATTTTACTATGGACACAGAAACAAGACCTCTTGAAATTGACCACTACAAAACAAATACTGGCTAATTGAAAAAAGAAAGTTCTCTTTTCAAGGTTATTTAATGGAGCATAGAACCAAGACCTCCAAGAGAAAATGATATCTTACGTTCATTTCATTTACAAGAATAGAATAATATCCTGGGAGGATTTTTATATTTTATTTATAGATCTCTTCATTAAAATAACATTTGTAGCTTTTATTAGAAAAAGAGATTCAAGGCAAGAAACAACTGATTTCTGAATTATTTAAAAAGATATTTGTAAAAGGATGTGGGCCTCTATATCAAAGCCACCTTGACCATTCAGAACACCTTTGTGTTACTTCAGTACATCAACCTTGGATTTATTCAAATTCAAGATTCTCAATACACAAGCAAAAAGCAGATACAGGTAACTCAAGAGTACTGAAAATGAGTGCAGCATATGGATCATGGAAGTCACCAATCACAGCAGATATAGTCTCGGGTTCAGAGAAGCGTCTAGAAGGTTTCACTCTAGACTCAAATGGCCACTTAATGTGGCTAGAAACTCGGCCAGCTGAGTCAGGACGAGCAGTGCTTGTTAAAGAAGAAGGGGAAGATATTACACCTAAAGACTTCAATGTTCGGACCACTGTTCAAGAATATGGTGGTGGCTCTTTTGGAGTTTCTGGAGATTTACTTGTTTTCTCCAATTTTGATGATCAGAGATTGTACAAGCAGCTTCTCGCTTCTCCAGGTCTGGCCTGGGTCCAATTAATATTCTTATTTAGGTTCCATTTCAAATTATTTTGCAATCTTTTGAAATAAAGTTTATATATTTGCATAAAAAGATACACCGTTTTCCTAATTTCATTTTATGTGTCACCTTCATATGTTTGGAAATTGGTTAATTTTACATTTTCATTTTGGCACTGACACAAACTTGTGGTAGAAAAAAAAATATTTTCTTTTGGTGCAAAGGTACTTTCGGTATTTTATGGATACTTAGCTGATAGCGTGAAAAATCTTTTTTTTTTCTAAATCTTGTGTTCAGTCAAATAGTGTCAAAATTTTGTGATACGGAGTTCTATAAATCACTATTTTTTTTATAATTAAGAAGATTTAAAAAATGTTTGACAAAGATTGTAACAAAAGGAAAATGATTTAATTCTCCAAATAAGAATTGTATCATATAGATAGGACAGAATAAATAGCAAGTTTATTTATTTTTTCGTGGAAGTTATAGCCGTGGAGCAGATTAAATTGATAATTTGTTAATCATAGATTCCAGACCAGTGCCGATAACTCCAGATTATGGGGGACCTGTTGTGAGGTATGCTGATGGGGTCTTTGATGGCCGTTTAAACCGTTACATTGCTGTAAGAGAAGGTACATATATCTCTACTTATAATCACTACATGTATTATTGTTATAATTTTTGGATTAGGATTTTTTTCTTTACAGTCTTGTTTGTTGTAACTGTATATTTTTGCTCCTTATTATCTATGAATAGATCATCGCGGGGTTGATGCACAGCCAACTACAGAGATTGTGAGTGTTTCCCTTAATGATAACAACACTGAAGGTATGTAAGTGGCAACAGCTTTGAAGTATTGTGAATCTGTTGATCTATGATGTTAAAATGGAGAATGCTTGATTTGCTGCGTCTGCTTTTATTCATGAATTTCAGAACCAAAAGTGTTGATTAGTGGGAATGACTTCTATGCATTCCCGCGGGTGGATCCAAAGGGAGAACGTTTGGCCTGGATCGAATGGAGCCACCCTAACATGCATTGGGATAAAGCAGAACTTTGGGTCGGGTATATATCTGAGAACGGGTGAGTAAGTCTTCTTACATTCTCTGTACTGAATAAAAAAAAGTCTTCTTACATTCTCTCTTTATTAGATGTTGTCCACACTGCAAGACGCTTCAAATTTTACTGAAAAAGATTTCATGCACACTGATCCACTTTTGCTGTGAATGTTTAACAATTGGTTGAATTAATCAAATATAGAGACATCGACAAGCGAGTAGTAGTTGCTGGTGCCTGTCCTTCTGCCGTGGAATCGCCAACTGAGCCTCTGTGGTCGTCCAAAGGCAGGATAAGTTTTAAGCAGTATTCTGCTGTTTACTCCCATTCTAAAAGCAGAATAACTGCTAGTCTTATGATGTTGAATATTGAAGCAACCTCCTCGGATTATTGCAGGGGAATTGTTTTTCATAACAGATAGGAATACAGGGTTTTGGAACATATACAAATGGGTAAATACATTAAACCGTAAGAGTTTTGCAAATTTTGTAGTATTGGTGATAGTTCATCACTGTTTATTGCTTCTACATCAGATTGAAGATAAAAATGAGGTCCTTGCGATTTATTCTTTGGATGCTGAGTTCACAAGACCTTTTTGGGTTTTTGGAAACCGATGTTATGACATCATTGAGGGAAAAGACGGATCAACCATTATTGCCTGCAGCTACAGGTCTCTCTCTCCATTTAAATGCTATCCCAGTTCTTTTCATTATTTTCCCAGCCTCTCTTTGGAGTGTTCTGTTGACACTTCTAATAAAGTTGGTTTATCTATTTTGGCTTGCAGGCAACATGGAAAGTCATATCTTGGTGTTATAAATCAAGCTAAGAACTCCTTCTGTTCAGTTGATATTCCATTCACTTACATATCAAATATTGTAAGTTGCAGCTTATATTGTGGAAATTGTCTAATTGGTGCAACATTCAGAAATTGTAACAGTCTGCTTAAATGTTGTTTAGCTTGCAAGTGGGCAGATCCTTTACATTGAGGGTGCATCTTCCGTTCTTCCTACTTCTTTAGCAAAGGTTGTGTCTTGTTCTTTTCTGTAACGGTCGCTTTTTCAAATAATTATTTTCCGCAGTTTGACTTCATGAATTTCATTGCTTGGCAACAGGTCATACTAGATGATCATATGTCAAAGGTTGTTGATTTCAGTATCATGTGGTCATCTTCTTCAGACAGTGACAAGTACATATCATATTTTAGCTTGCCCGAGCTTATCGAATTTCCAACAGATGTGGCTGGTCAGAATGCCTATGCATATTTCTATGCTCCATGTAATCCAGATTATAAGGGCAGTGAAGACGAAAAGCCTCCACTGTTGCTGGAAAGCCATGGTAAATAATTTGTATTTTCTTAGAGTTGTATTTTCATTATGCACCGAGTGCTAATTTAGTTTTCTATGGCATTGATTAAAGTGTTGAAAAATTAAGATACTAAGCATTGTATATTCTAACTATAAAGTTGCTGAAGAAAAAGCTTGTTACATGGCAGTGCTGTTGGCCAGTTTCACATCGGCAAAATATGAGAGTCGTGACAGGAGCTTTCAATAGTTATTGTATAGGCAAAGCATTTGTCGTCTTCTTAGCTGCTTTCTGTCAGTAATAACAAGAACAAATTCCAATCTCTGACTTTCTACAAGTCTACTAACCATTGAGCTCGAGCATGCACGTGTATGTTAAATACAGGGCTATCCAAATAAGTGTGTGTGCACGTGTCTGTGTCTGTGTAAGTATACATATGTATAGCTACACAACTATCTGGAAGTAAAACAGGTTAAATATGGGGATATCCAAGAGAGGAAATAATTAGAAAAACTCTAGACTTCTATTTTCCTGTTCCAACACTATTATAATATTAATTGCCTTGTTTTCACCATGCTTCACTAATCTTCTTTTTCATTCTGAGTATGCGTGAACTTAACTGATTTTGAACTGTTGCTCATGCATATTACAGGAGGGCCAACTGATGAGGCACATGGAACCTTAAATCTTAGCATGCAATATTGGACTAGTCGAGGATGGGCATTCGTAGATGTTAACTACGGAGGAAGTTCGGGTATGTTATCAGAGTTTGAGCAATTTATTTTCCATCTAACTTCCATACTTCCTAGATTCAGACAATTTTTTTATTTATTATTTAATGGTTGTCAAATTCAACTGTATCTGATTTACTAAAAACTTTCTAACCCTATTTTTCAGTCTGTTAGGTTCTGATACATTACACTCCACTAAGTTCTTAGAGTTTACTTGTCCCTCTCTATACATCACATAATTAAGTCTTCACAAATTCCAATTCAAGGTTATGGCAGGGCGTACCGAGAACGTCTTCTAGGGAAGTGGGGAATTGTTGACATTAATGATTGTTGCTCTTGTGCTAAATATTTGGTTAGTTGAATTAACTGCATCCCCTACCTTATTTGTTATTTTTCTCTTTTCTTTACTCTAGAGGTTTAACAAGGATACTTGTTTATTAAGGTGGATGAGGGGAAGGTTGATGAAAAGCACCTTTGCATAACTGGTTGTTCTGCTGGTGGTTACACAACATTAGCTTCTCTTGCTTTCAGAGAGACATTTAGAGCTGGAGCTTCTTTATTTGGAGTAAGTCAATATGTAACATCAATTTGGAATCAAGGAGGGAAATGGTTTTTATTGTGGTATGATCAGTGTTAGTCTCAGCCGAAGTAAAATGCTTATTGCTGCAAATCCTTGCCTTGTTCTCGCCCTGAACCATCACGTGAGCATATGCGGAGGGTAAAAACTGGGAAAAAGGATAAGGAGATGGCGTAATTAGAAGTTTAAGTGATGATTAATCATATGCTCAATTTAATTGCATTTATTTTATGTTTTATGTCTGCATCTTGTTTTGAATAGAAGGAAAAGCTTATATGGAATGTACCGCTTACATTATGCTCCACGTATCAGCTCTCTATAATGTCACAAACTTGTACCTCCTCTCTACTTCTCTATTAGACTTGGGGGGGGGGGGGGGGGGTCAACAGGGTTTTGATT